GGCTGAGTGGGGAGTGCCCAGAGCCCAGAGCTGTGATGGCATGTGCATCACATGGAGAACAGCTCAGTGTGAACTGGACCCTGGGGACCCTCCCCTGCTGAGGAATGCGGAGCGACAGGCGGCTGGCCTCTGAGCAGCTGGCTGTGGAGCGCTGTGAGCCCCTCCCCCAACATGTCCCTGGTCCTCGGTCCTCAGCCCTCAGTCCCTGCTGCCAGGCTCTCATCGATGCACCTTAACTCCAGTCTCAGACAGGACCAGCCAGCCTAGAGAAAGGACAGGTGGCCTCCACCACTGCTCTGATGGTGGGCTTCCACCCGGCCAAGTACAGGGATGGGGACTCAGGTACTTGGAGACAGGGGACCGTGGCACTGCCTCCCTTCCACAGCCCAGAACAGCCAGAGGTGAAAGAGGGGGTATTTCAGAAGTCAGAACACTGCCACCCGCAGTGCTGCCACCTGCCATGGGGCTTCACGGCCCCTCCTACAGAGCTCCACAGCCCCCACGCCCATAGGGACGGAGGGGTAATGCCCTGGGTTCAGATCCAGACTCCTTCATCTACTGGCTATGAGCATTCACTCATCCATATAATGGGAATAACATCAGTCAGCTGGTGGGGCTCCGGGTGGGTTGAGTGGGACAATGTAGGCACACTGCCTGGCACAGGGCAAGTTCAAGAGGTGATAATGCTTAGCCACCATCCAGTTCAGTCTCCTTTCCATCTTGGCGTGCTTTCTGCTGTAAGTGGAAGGAAGGAGGGAAAGAAGGAAGGAAGGGAAGGAGAGAGAGGAGGCTGGAGGCGAACTCTTCATTGTACCTAACATCACTCCCTGTAGCTCAAACCAGAGAGGCACCTCTTACATATGCCTTAAGTTAAAGCTTATTTTTAAAACATTTTATTCACATCAGTTCCTCAGGAGTCCACCCTTTGTGGGCTGTGTGCCTTCTACTTCATCCAAACCACTGCTCTTCACAAATGAACAAATGCAAACAAACCAGTTGTTCCCATTCGACAGTGGGTGAAACCGAGGCCCAGAAGGACAAACAGAAAAAAAAAAAAAAAAAGCCCCAGGACCCAGCCAATGGGTGAACTGCCCTGGCCCCAGTCCTGCCCTTTGCCCCCAGAACTGGGAACGTAAGGGTGCCAGGCTCCTGTCACCTCCACCACTTCCTTAGCCCCCGCCCCACCCCATCTTCGCTCTGAGGTTTTCAAAAGCTGAGATCCAATCAGCTTCAAGGTAGTCAGGCAGGCTGACTGGGTGGTGGAGGGGGTCGGTTTCCGGGGCCTGTGGTTACTACACTCTACTTCCTTGTGATGACATAAGCCCTATTTCTGCAGCGGGAGGCCACCATTAAGATTCTCAGGTCTCCATGCAGAGGAGGTCCTGTCTGAGCCTCGGTTCCCCCGGTCTATAACCCTGCACAGCATGGGACACAGCTGGCATTGATTGGCACTGAACGGCCTTGGGCTGTCAGAGCGGAGAAGGGGGACTCTGAAGGCACCACCCATCCCCACCCTCATATAATTTTTTCGGCCTTCTCCAGTCTCTTTGTCCCAAGCCACCGATTCTTTTGATTCAAAATTTATACAGACATTGTCCAAGCTACAGGAATAATGACAGCTAGAGAATCCAGATGAGAGAGGGCAGGGGTGCAATCTAATTCTGTCCCCTGGGTCCCTGGCTGGTGCGCCCCCCCCCCCCATCCGTTTCCAGCCCCTGCTCAACCCTGTAGTTTCCACGAATGGATGTGGGACCCGTAGAGGCACCTCCTCTCCCCAGCCACTAAAGGAAGGAAGCTAAAGGAAACCAGGAAAAGATAACAGGGGCACTGAGGGCTCCCCTCACGGTGGGGGCTCAGAGCTGGGGGCTTGAAAGGGTCTTAAATGAACATACCATGTGACTTGGCTTCCTTCCCCAATTTCAACTTTGCCAACTTGCATTTCTTAACGGCCACCTCTTCCCCTTCTCTCCATATTAGTCAGGTCTGGGTTGCAGCCTCGGGGAGGGCTCAGCCTCACCTCTCTCAAGCATCCATCCTCCCAACCCCCACCCATCCCCAGGTAGAGGGAAGCCCAGGAAGCTGAGTCCTTGTCTATAGGGGATTAATGGATAAAAGGATCACAGGGCAGGCTGGAGGGGCTGGCCTGGGAATCCCTTGGTGCAAAGGCAACTACAGCCTGGGTTCAGGGGCAGATAGAGGGGCCAGACTCCAGGCAGGCCTGGGGTAGAGCTTATAGCGTCTGCTCACACCTAGACCTCTGCCCTTACCTCACAGCCCCAGGTCCTGAAAGTTTCCACCTCTAGCCCTTCCCCAGCCCTGGCCTGCCCTACAGAGATCTGCAGACAGCCCGCTTTGATCCTCTTCCCAAGGAGATTATAGGGCCTAGAGCCCTAGGCCTGGCACTTCTCATCTAGTCTAAAAGGCCCCTCCAGAACCTACCCCCGTGACACAGGTGTGCGTGAGCACGTGTGGGTGCACACACACACACACACACACACACACCCCAAACCAAGTCTGCCTCATTCCTGGCATCCCTGTCCCAAGAGTTGGACACAGGGCTCAGCAAATTATTCTTATGGGGACTCAGAAAGTACTTCAGTTAGATACAAGAAAGAACTTCCAGGAAGTCAGAAAGACAGCAGAACCCAGCACCCACCTGGACCCTTGGCAATTCCAAAGCCTTGGCCTTCCCCAGCAATGCCCTCCCTACTCCACTACTCTACTCCAGCCCACTACCGGGTCCCTTAGATGGGACAAGTGTCTTCTAGAGGTGGGGATGGGGGGCTGATGGGGATCCAGCAGCATGGAGGACTCTCTCCTACAGCTCCTCAGTGGCACCATCTGCTCCCTGTCCCGGCCCAAGCCCTAGGCTGGTCCAATCCTCAGCCCTCTGATTAGAAACTGGGTTTTGTCCAGGCATTGTCTGCCTTCCACGGCCGGCTGCCCATTGAGGTCTGGCGTGTGCCAGGCTGGGCGCTCACGCTGGAGCGGGAGAGGAGAAGTGGGGCTGAGCCCCCTAAAGCCTGGCTCTTCTGATGTTCAAATCTCCCCACCCCTCCATCGGAGATCAGCAACTTGAGGCAAGGAGTGGGGGCCTCTGGGCACTACTAGAGCAATCTGAGTGAGAAGCAGAGATAATGCCCATCACCCATTAAATAAAGAACTGGGTGCAGCGGGCAGGCACAATCCCTTCTCTGGAAAGGGTCTCAGAAACCTTCTGTTGGTGATGCTAAGACGGCAACCCCAGCCTTTCCTCACTCCTCTGCACAAAGTGCGAATCCCAGGGGGCTTTTCCATACTTTACCATGCCCCAGTCCAGCCTGGGGAGGCTGACAGTAGGACAGGGGGCTTTGTTTGGCCCTCTCCTAGAAGATGGAGTCTAAAGGAAAGCCCCATGGGAGGAGCGAGCACCCTGTGTCTCTTCCTTCCCAGCCCTGGTTCACAGTGAGTGGGGCCAGGGCTTCATTTCCCTTTTATGATGTACTCGGACTCTCCCAGTCTGCTGCAGATGTCATATTTACATTTCTCACTCCCCCCCTCTCCTTCTACCTCCCTCCCTCGACCTCCACAGGATCCTGCTGCAATGTCAGCCCCAGCAGCAGCCTGGCCCCGCCCCAGCCAGCCCACCAGGCACCTGCAGGGCTCCTCTTTGTCTCTCAGGCTGTTCAGGGCCAGCAAGGCTGTGTTCAAGTGATGCTGAGCCCGCCTGATGCATGGATGGGAAGCACCTCAATCTCCCTTCCTTGATCCCAGAGCTGCGATCAGCAGTCCACTGCTCCTCTCTGGGCTGCAGAGGACGGGCCAGATTGCCTGGGGGGCATCTGCCCTGGGGCAGGAGGGGGAAGCTTTTCCATAGTCCTCTCTGACCCTGTCTAGAGTGACTTCCCATGGGCTCTTGGAATCTGGGTCACCTACAACCTAGGGAATCGAGGGACCTGCCTCAGAGACCCACCCTAGCCTTAGACCCCATACCCCCACCCCCATCACACAGAGCCTGGTCAGAGATGGGTGTATTTCTCCATCATCCCAGCGTTGGTGACCAGTCCCAGATTGGCACTCTCCCACCAACAGAGCCCATCTCAAAGAGAAAGACCTAAAACAAATACAGGGAGAGGTGGTGTTGGTGTAAAGCATCTCCACCCAACACAAAGAACACAGACGGTTCAACTTCGCAGTAGTCCCAGCTTTGCACCTCCATGTACCCCTCCCAACAGAAGCCCCCCCCCAGCCATGTCCTCTCCCCACCTCAATTCTGTCAGGATGTCACGTCAAGTCCCAGATAAGTCCGTGCACCACCCTACCTCCATTTTATCTGAGTGCCTGAAGATGGGGTACGGTTGTCACACCCTCCTGCCCTCTCAGAGGTAGAACCTCAGATACACCTCTTCCTCCCTCCCCTAGCCTCCTCTTGGGGCAGGGCCAGCACGTTTTCTCCAAAAGCCCTTGACACCCCCTCCCCCATGGAAGGCCAAGGCACCATCCCAGCCCTTCCATTCGTCCTTGCACTCAATCGATCTTTGTCTGCGAACCGGTTCCCAGGGCCGGGTGTGCTGCCTTCTTAGCTGGACCAAGAGCACAGAAGTAGCCTACTAGGGTGGATGAAGGGAAATTTCCTACCCCCCCTCCAATATCCCAGTATGAGACAGCAGCCCCAAGGGGAGGCGAAGAGGAAACACACAGACGCTCCGGCCTGGGCCAGGGCTGGGTGTGAAATACCGGATTTCCTTGTTTATTCGATTTTCTGATCATTAAGGGCTCCCAAGAGGGGCCCGAAATTACCCCCCAAACAAAGCCACCTTCCAGCCTCCCGCGGGCCGCCGATCCCCTGCGGGAGCCGGTCCAGCGCACGGCGCCCTCCAGCCTGGCCCACGCCGACCCCTCCTCCGAGTGTGCGGACTCCGAATCGAGTGGCGCCCGCGCCCCCCGGCCCCGCGCCCACGGGAGACAAAGCCCGAGCCCCCTCGGCGCACGCCACCCCCACCTCCGCCGTCGGTCCCTACCTGACGGCCACCTTGACGCAGCAGTCCCCCTGGCCGGCCATGGTCCTCTGGCTCTAGGGTCTGGGCGTGGATCAGGGGCGGGGGTCTGGGGGCCAATGCCCCAGGCAGCGGCAGCGGCTGCGGCTGCGGGAGGCGGGGGCGCGGGCACTGCTGGCGGAGTCTGCCGCGGCGGCTGGAGGTGACATGCTCGCGGGCTGCAAGCAGAGGGGCTCACCCGCGGCCAGGGGTGGCCCCACGGGGCTGGGCCCGCGCGCCTCCTCGCGCCATCGAGCGGCGGCGCGCAGCTAGCTGACAGCCCGCGGCGCGACCCGCCGCTCCCCACCGCGCGGCACACGCGCGCACACACCTCCCACCCTTGCAGCCACCTCCCGCCGCAGCGCGAACAAAGGGGGCGGGGGCCGGCCCGACCCAGGACCCGCCCCCGAGCCCCGTCGAGCCCGCGCCGGGCTCCGCCCCGTCCCCGATTCACCAATCCAAGGCCCTAGGCAACAGCAGGGGCGGGACTTGAGCCTTTAAAGGGACCTCTTGGCTCGCATCCACCCGCTCGTTGGGAGGCGGGCGGGATTGGAGGGCTCGGGAGGAGGGCTCAGAAGCTGACCACGCTGAGCCTCCCCCCACCCCCCGGAGTCGCAGAATCTCAGCCTAGATGGGACCCTGGTTTCATAAATAAGGAAACTGGGACGCAGAGAGGGGAACTACCCAAGATCACTCAGATTTGGTGGCTAAGCAAGGGGTAAGAGCCCAAGTCTCCGGGCAGAGTGCTTCACTTCAAAGCAGCCCACAGTGATTAGCGGTTTATATTTTGAAAGCGCCAGGAAAGCTCCCCTTCTGATTTATAACAGTGAATGTGTCAACCTTTACTGAACGAGATTCTTGCTGGTGACTAACTAAAATTCCCTCCACCTCCATCCTGCAAGCATTTTAAAGTTCATCTTCTGGTTGATTCTGGTTAGGCTCCTCGCCCAGATGGGCCCCTCCCTCTGCGAGACCGAGGTGGCTTCACTGACCTTTATGACCCACAGATGACCCCACTGAGCCTGCCTCACACTCTGTTGTGACCGTGGGGGCAGAGGGTCAGTATGGGAGGGCTGGGCTGCACTGGGAGATAAGGCAACAAAGGGGGCACTCACTCCAGGCACCTGGGTAGAGGCTGGAGGGGAGAGGTGGGTACGGAAGGGGACAGAGCAGTGCAGCTGCCTTTACACGGATATAAAGGACAAGGGGAGCCCTGGTGCCTTTAAACACAGGGCAGAGATGGAGAAGTGCAAGGCCCTGAGAAGTCACAATTCTCTTTCTGCTCCACCTACCCTCCCTCTAAGCCCAGACACCTTCTCCCTGCCCCCCAACTCCCAACATTGGGGCCATTCACAGAGCCCTCGCCAGCTGCCCTGCCTCCCCACACTTCAACTAGCTCCCTCCTCTGGAAAGAGCCCAAGAGGAGGACCCAGCTGCAGCTCCAGATGTGGATGATACTCTGGGGGGGGGGGGGGGGGGGAGTCGGACGCCAAGTCTCTTGCATCACCCTCCAACGATGATGAAACTATGTCAGAGATTTTGGCAAGGGTGTGGGTTAGGGTCTGAGGGTGTATCTGTTGGTACCATCCTCCTTCCCTTCCCTCCCCCACTCATCCCCAGAGATAACTGGTCCATCCAATAGTCCAGATCACTCTGGTTTTAATAAGTCAAACCCAAACAATGATAATTTCAAGGGCAAATCTCAAGGGTAAATCATCACCCCTCCCCGCAATCTGATTCAAAACAGGGCACCACTGGCAGTGCCCCAAGGGTGGAGGGGGGGGCGGGATGCTGGCGGGATCCTGCACCTTTTATTAGCATTTGAACCTAGAGGAAGCTCTCTCTGGGCCAGCAGGTCACCGCTTCCAGAGCTGCAGGCCTGCAATGTTGAGTCAGATCCTGGACATTCTCTCCCCATCTTCCAACCAAAATAAGAGATAGGGAGGTGGCTCACATTTATGGACCATCCATGAGAACCAGGTATTTTATATGCATGTTCTCATTTGAATCTCATAACCTTGTGAGCTGGGCTTTATTATTCCTTTTCAGTTTTGCAAGTGGGGGAGAATGAGTCTCACCCAGCATATAAGCAACGGAGCCAGGATTTGAACTTATGCATCTTGTTCCAGACTCCCCAGATCACCTCCAAGCAAGTGCCCAGAGGGAAGGGAGCTGGCCTGACCTAGGCTTCTGCTGGAGATTTAGCTCTCCTGGATGATAATGCTGCATTTTTCAAAACTGCTCTCTGGCCCACCAGACCCTGGACTTCTCTGGTGCTCATCTCTGGCTTCCTGCCTCCAGGAGGTCCCCTCTGACTTCCGAGAGTAGGTGACCCTTGTGACTCACAGCTTCACTGCTGGGAAATGGCGCCAGAGCTGCTGCATGCACCCTCCCCTTCCCTCCAGGCCAAAGGATGTCAAGCCAGGAGGAGCAGGGAGGCACATGGGCTGGAAACTCAGGCTTCCTAGAGGTCAGGACCCCACATCAGCTGTGCCAGCCACCTCAGCAGCTCCCTCCTGGACCTCCAGGGAGTAGCAGAGCCATCAGATGTCCAGACTCTTGACTCCTGGGCGCTGCTGCCCAGAGGTGAACAGGGAAACTGGGCACAGAGGTCAGAGGGAGATCCAAGGGGCAGGAAGAGACACGGGGAGATTTAGGTTAGATGGGTCAGAGGAAGCCAAGGACACTCCCTGCCCTCTTCAGTCTCTGTGTGGCTTCAGCACAGCCTCTGCTTCCTCTCTTCTGGCTTGTCCCCACCCCCACCCTTTCCCACCCCTTCTCCCTCCTCCCAGCTGCTCTCCTTTCCTTTCCTTCCCTAACCCTGAAGTTTCTCAAGGAGCTGCCTACATGCCTATCCCCCCCAACCTCCACCCCTTTCCTCTCTGCCTGACAGAAACGGGCAAACGCACATACACACTACCCCCTGTTTGGCCCTGAGTCCCCTAATTGGATTGGAATTTGAGCCCCGGCTCTTGTCCTAAGCTGAGGCCTTTCTCTGTCAGGCGTCTAGGGGCCTCCATCATTTCTCTTGACAGGAGCTGTGGGCGTCTGGGCAGATGGGAACGTGGGGGAGCTGTGGAGGACCCTCTCTGAGGCAGGAAGCTCCCACTCCTGTAGTTAAAATACTCCAGCAGCAACTCGAGGAAGCCATCTGGCCCCGATCTCTCAGGCACGGCCTAGCTTTCAACAGCAACCCTACAGTAACAAATCAATATACCTAAGAGATACCCTTGGGCTCTAGAAATGTCTTTCGAAGTGGTCTGAACTTGAGTCTTGTTCCCTTTTATCTTCTTTAGAGTTAGCACTAGGCATTGGCATTTGATGAAATGATCTGAGCATTGTCCTAAAGTTCCGAGGGTGGAAAGTTCTGGACCCCCAGTCCTAACTGCCAGCCACCCCCCACCCCCAGCAGCTGTACTTGGTTCCATGGGACAATGGGCATTACTCCGTCCTGCCAGCCACACCCTCCAGTGCCCACCTGGAGATGGAACCCAGCTCTGCCTGCCAACAGGAGCCCAGAACCCCGGAGAGGATCTACTAGGGGTGCAGATTCAGAGGTCTTAGACCAGCCACAGGCTCAGCCTGACTTCCTGTGTTACAGAAGGAGACAGACTCAGCCTTAGAGGAAACCAGAATTTGTTATAAATAGAAAGGAGAGAGAACTGCTGTGGATTATAAACACCCATCAGTCCTGAAAAAAAAAAAAACCCAACTATTTTTGGTTTCAAATGTTAATGACAGTTTAATTAATACTCCATATAACCTCAAACATTGGCTCTTCATCCACTTTCTACTCTGCCGTGTTTCCTGTTAGGGCCCAAAGTGGGAAGAGCAGGTGTGGGAAATTCTCAATATCACAGAACCTTTGGAGTTGAAAAGAAGTCTAAGATCATCTAGTTTTACAGCTTCATTTTCAAGGCAAAGACACGGAGTCCCAGACAGGTAAGGAGACTTGCCCACAGTAGTACAATAAGCTAGTGGGCAGGGGCCAGGAGCGTGGTCCTCCTGGGTCCAGAGCAGGGTGGTTTCCACAACGGCATGGAAGGACCTGGAAGCTAACCATCCAAGACTGGGCTGGATCTGAGTTTCTGGTTTGAATAAAAGTGAAGCCTGTACCAAATAACAACAGACAGCCTGGAAGCCCAAGTGTGGTGTTCCAAGTCAGAGCTCTGGGGTGAGATTCCCACCCTGCCCACGTGTTAGCTGCGTGACCCTTGGGGAGTTATGTGACCACTGCAGACGTCCGACCCCTCACCTCAAAATGAGGATAATCACATTCCACTCATCGCAGGACCAGGATGAGGTTAAAGACGGTAACGTGGGTCAAGCACCCAGTATAATGCTCAGCACAAAATAGATAGCAATTTCCTTCACATTTCCTGTGGATTCTCTGTCCCTTCTGCAACAAGCCTCTGCCCTCTAACTGGACAGAAGGGTGCATCTGTCATAAAGAAGTGTCCTGCGGGATAGGGAGACTCTGTGGTGAGTGTGAATGAGGCGTGGACAAGGTGAGGAGGTTTGCTGGGCCCAAGTGCTCCTGGTGGATCGGGGGAGGTGGGAGGAGGCCAATCTGCAGAGTTATTGGGCGGCCTCTGCTGGCCACTCAGTGGTGGGGCCCGGGGTGGGGGTAGGGGGTCAGGGTGAGTGCAGAGGCAGGAAGGAGCCTGGGCATGCTGGGTCCCTTCTGTTCACAAACACTCCGGGTCTCAACCTCATGGGGGGTTATCTGGAGGGCATCTCAACTTTATTTTACTCACCCCCTGTGCTGCACGGCGCCAAGGACACTGCATAGGATTTCTCATTTCATCCTCACGACGGCCGCTGAGGTAAACATGGTTATTGTCCCCATTTTGCAGAGGAGGAAATGGGCTCAGAGAGGTCACTCGGCTAGTGCAGCAGTCATTAGTGCTGTGCACCAAATATTTCCGGCTCTCTGCCGTCTGTCACAAGGCAGGACTGCGTGTCCTCTGATGTTAGCTGTGGCCATGTGACTGACTTTGGCCAGTGACGTGTGGGCAGTATGGACACATCTCACTTCTGGGTGGAAGCTTTCTGAGCTACTGGCAGCCTCGCATTACTTCGTGTTGTTTATTGAGTTTATGTGAGAAATAAACTTCTATTGTGTCAAGCCACTGAAATCATGGGCATATATGTTACCTTGGCATAGCCTAGCCTACCATAGATGAGACAGTGTGCCTCTGCCCCTCGCTTGCCTAGGAAACAGCTCTCAAGTTGGGTATTAGGACACACCTGTGTTCACCCCAACCCGGAGCTTCTAGAGGAAGCCAATAGTGGATCATATAGACCTTCTAAGAGGCACATGGAAAGTAATAATAGCCACCATTTCTGAACATTGTGTTGGGCATTATTTAAATGCTTCAGATCCTTATGGTCATATAATGCTCACAACAACCCTAGGAGGTCGGAACAATTATCATCCCCGTATTAACAAAGGACAGCAAGAGTTGCTCAAGGTCACCCGGTAAGTGATAGAGCAGGGGTCGAACCCACCCAACCAAGCCAATCTCTTGTTTCATCCTGTGTCGGATCACAGTGAAGAATAAGGATGGATCTAGACCTTGGCAGCTGCTGAGCTGAGGAAGAGCAGAGCCTTGAGAATTCACCTGCCTCATAAGTCCACACAATGACTTGTACACAAATGTTCATCGTAGCCCCAAAATGGAAGTAACCCAAATGTCCATCAACAAATGAATAAACTGGTATATATCAAATAATAGAATACTATCAGCAATAAGAAGGACGAACTATCAATGATACAGCATGGATGAACTCCAAAATAATTATGTTGAGCAAAAGAAGCCAGACCTGTGCACTGGGGGTGGGGAGCGGAGCAGAAAGGAGGGAGGCAGGGGCAGTGAATGGAGCTCAGAGGGGAAGAGGGGGGATCACTAATAGGCACCAAGAAATTTGGGGGGCGGTGGATACATTTATTATCTTGACGATGGTGTTGGTTCCATGGCTGTATACACATCTTTCAGAAATAATCAAATTGTGCACTTTGAATATTTGCAATTTCTTACATATTATAACTCAATGAACTTTGTAAAAAAGGTAACTTGTTCCAATTTCTTTGCTCAAATAGGGATGTAGAATAGCTGGTGACTTTTCCTGCATCACTGGGACAATGAACTGGAGTCTTGGCCACCTGAAAGGCAGTTGAGCCCTCTGGCCCACCCCGCGTGGACTGTGCGCTCATTGGGAGTCCCCTCTCCCCCAGAAGGGACAGTGGTGGGGAAGTGGTACACAGAGAGGGGATGTAGACACAAAAAGAGAAGGAGCAAGCAGGGAGCCAAGCCGGAAAAGCCAAAGAGAGGGGAGAAAAAGAGAGATGACAAGGAAGGAAGAAGGGAGGGGCAGACCCCTCCCCTCAAACCTGGTACTGAGGAAGGGGCCTTTGAGGCAGTCCTAACCAGGACCCCCAGAGAAGTCGGGCCCTCTTGTTTCAGATGCCACCCTGGTAAGCCCCTTCCTTCTGATTAAGTTAACAAATAAGCCCCACCCTGCCTAGGAGCTATTGATTTGAAGTCCCCAAGGATGCATCATTTCCTTGGATTTTAATAGATATTTGCTTCAATGAGACCCTACAGAGCAGACCTTCAGCAAACAAAATGGGGCGGGGGGCAGTGCTGGAGACTTGGAGGGAGGTGGTGGTGGGAGATCACACAAGATTAACTTCTGAAGTACACTTCTTTTACAAAAATGTACCAGATGGGGACTGTTATGGGACCATAATGAATGCCTGCACCCCAGGCGGTGCGTATATGCTGAATCTCCTGGGATGATTTTAGGAGAATTTCAAAGCCCCTTTGACAATGACAGCCTGCGTTGGCCTGAGGTGACATAATCTCTTAAAAAATTAATCTGTGTCCTCTCCCCCACCCCCGTACTTCCTGACACTTGTCCAGTTGACAGAGAAGACACTTTGCCTTGAGGAGAATTAGATGAGGCTGGGGAGGATGCGAAGAGCAATGAAAAGAACTTTGTCTTCCTCTTTAACTCCCAAGCTAGGTTGGAGGAGCCAAAGGCGAGTTTGCGGTCATGACCCAAATTAGAAAGAACCCAGAGGAAGAGGCCATAATCTGTCTCCCCTCCCTCCCTCCCCCACCACAGACTGCCCAAGGGCCCCTGGGGATGGCCCAGGAGAGCCAGGAGATGGGAGGCCCAGGCCTTGGCAGAGGGCAAACTCCAAGACTTAAGACCAGATGTGGGGTGATCTGGAGAGAAAGTCAACCTCTGATAGTGGCTGACACTGGGGCAGCTGGGCCTCCACCTGCAGACCACGCCTTATGGTCGCTATGGTGACCCCCACCTCCCCTCTCAGAGGGGACATCTCAGCGATGGCAAGTGCAGGAAGCCCCCCTCAGCGTCAGTCTGCACGCTGCCTGAGAACAGCCCTGCACACATGGGACACCTGCCTCAGTGAGCCCTCATGCAGACTGATTTGTGCAAACTGCCCCAAAGCAAAAGGTCGGGTCTCTGCAGTGGTGGTGGGAGGCAGTGGTCGTATTAGGGTGGCACTGGACAGGGGGGAAACCCACCCTCATTACAATAGGTTAAATATTATAAAATTGTTTTATAGACAAAAGGGATAGAATATCTGCAATTTCAAACGATTCAATCGAATACACATTGTTTAGCAGTGAGCTTGGTGTGGTCTCATGCATTCACCCTCCCTCCCTCGCCCCCTTCCTTTCTCCCTTCCTCCCCCTTCTCCTTGCTGGGGATACAAACTTGATAAAGAAACTCACTTACCTTGAAGAACTCACAGTAGAAAAAAAACCTTTAAACTCCTACACTACAGGGTAATAAATGCCATAATAAAAGTCATCAACACGCTATGGAAGAGGCAATTGAGTGTAGCCAGCCCATCAGGGGAGAAGCCCAGTGCGGAGGTATTTGCTGGGGTGGAAAGGCACACCGAGTTGGGGCATGGGTATGGCCTCTGTGCGGAGGGGCTGAGTTTAGTGCAGTGGGCGGTGCTTGACCGGTTGTCGGAAGGGGATGGGGTAAGGAGGGTGGGGGGGACAGAGGGCATTGTTGGGGGATCCTCACAGAGATAGGAGAAGTCAGCGCCTCAAGAATGGTGTCCAGGCTCCTGTCCTACACTGGGCTTCACTGCTGCTTGGCCAAGTGACTCTGGGTAACTTAGTCTCTCTGAGGCTGTGTTCTCATCACAGAACGGGATTCACAAGGATACCTATTTTACAGGTGGCACAGCAAACACTAAATAAGATGTTGCAGGCAAGCAAAGCATTTAATGACCCGGGCTTGATGAATACCAGCTATTATGGTTCTACAGATGGGAAAGCCAAAGGCAGAGGCCTCTTAAAAACAATATACAACTGGGGCACCTGGGTGGCTTGGTCGGTTAGGCATCCGACTTTCGCTTGGGTGATGATCTCATGGTTTGTGGGTTCGAGCCCTGTGTCGGGCTCTGTGCTGACTGCCAGCTCAGAGCCTGGAGCTTATTTCGGAGTCTGTGTGTCCCTCTCTCTCTAACCCTCCCCTGTTCACGCTGTCTCTCTCTCTCTCCTCAAAATAAATTTAAAAAATATATATATATATACAACTGGAAGTGGAGTTTTCTCCCCATCCAGGACTTGTGATCCTCTGCACATTTCACTGGCCGCTCTGAAGTGTAGTTCAGGGAGCCTGAGGTCTCCTCCCAGCTCCTCCCACTCACTCAGGAAATTGGGTTTATATGGCTCTTTCCTCTTCTGGGTCTTGGTTTTCTTTCTCTGAGTGGGGAGCGTCACCTGGCACTGTAAGCTGTCAGCCCCATGGCAGGAGTGACATGTTATTAAGATTAGATGCCAGAAAAATGGGGATCAAGGTCAGCTCCGGGTTGGCAGTGCCTTCTCTAGTGGCTTCTCCACCCCCAGGCTGTCCTGGGAGCTGGCAGGGCTGTGGGGGATGGGGTCTGATGCAGAGGTACCAGGGCTGGCATTCACGTTGGCTGGCTTTCTTCTTTTTTTAAAATATTTATTTTGAGGGGAGTCCAAACAGGGGAGGGGCAGAAGGAGGGGGACAGAGGATTCGAAGAAGACTATGTGCTGACAGGCTGACAACAGTGAGCACAACGTGGGGCTCAAACTCATGAACCGTGAGATCATGACCTCAGCTGAAATCTGAAATCGGAAGCTCAAGAGACTGAGCCACCCAGGTGCCCTGCCCGGCTTTCTTTTCTTTTTTTTTTTTTTTTAATATTTTTATTTCTAGGAGAGAGAGAGAGACAGCGTGAGCAGGGGAGGGTCAGAGAGAGAGGGAGATACAGACTCTGAAACAGGCTCCAGGCTCTGAGCTGGCAGTCAGCACAGAGCCCGACGCGGGGCTTGAACCCACGAACCGCGAGATCAGGACCTAAGCGAAAGTCGGACGCTTAACCGACTAAGCCACCCAGGCGCCCCAGCCTGCCCGGCTTTCAATAAGTGCCCCCAGGACCCCTCTGAGCTCAGTGTCCCCCCATCTAAAAGTCTAGCATCAGACAGAATCAAAACAACAGCATCTTACTAAGGGCCTGCGCTTTACATGGTCACCTTCATACCCTTCGATAACCTGGAAATAGGAATTAGTCCTCCATTTTAAAGGAGGAGGAGCAGAAGCTTAAGAGGGTTGTATGAACTGCCTGAGATCACAGCATGGAGGTAAGTGAATGGGATGCAGGTCCAAATGGGTCTGGCTTCCAAGACTGTGATCAGAAACACGTTGCACAGAGTGACCATACGCTTCCTTGAAGAATCACTCAGCCGCGTCTAGAGCAGGGGCTGCAAGTGCACCGAGACCAGAGCCAGGGAGCTCCTCCCTCCTCTGCAGATAGACTGGAACTGAGCCCACCCTGCATGGTTGTCCAGGGGGTCCTCCATCTGAGCTTCCCACCTTCCAGATGGGAGGGCTCCTCTAGCCCCCACTGCCAGCATGAGGCTTTGTGACCATCCCCTCCCACCAGCTGCAGCCCCGCCCCTTCTGGCAGACCCCCGCCGCCAGCAGCTGGGCCCCAAGTCTTCAGGGAACTGGCTGGGGGAAGATAGGGGTCCAGCAGACACTGTCTCTGGCCAGTCCCCCCAGGCGACAGAAGGTGGCCCCATCAGTGCCTATGGGTACACGGTCTCTGTCAGATGGTCCTGCTGAGAGGAGGGGCTTATCTCCCCACAAAACTGTCTGGTCCTCTTCACTCCCACCTCGGCCCTCATCCTTCCACACTCGTTCCTTTTAGGCTTTATTGGAGTAGCCTGGCAGCTAAGTGAGGGCAGGGCTGAGGTGAGGTCCAGCTTGTGGCCCCCGGAGGCAGAACACCTCCTCCCTGTCTCCCCGGGGGTTCTAGACAGACAACCAAGGTGGCTGAGGCTGCAGAACTGAGGCATGTGACACTGGGCGGTGACCCAGCTAAGCGCAGGGTCCACCCTTCTTACCATTTTCCTGCATTTATTTAACAGTTATTGAGCCACTGGCCTGTGCTGAAAAGACCTCAGCTCCAGGGACAGAACTTCGAACAAAGCGGACCTGCTCCTCCTGATTTTGTGAAGCTTAGCCTCTGGCTAGGGTAACAATAAACAGGCCATTATGATCCCTACTGCACTGAGGGGAAAGGCCCGCCATGTTTCTGGGCTAGCCCACAGAGGGTCGGTGGGGGGGAGGGTTGTCCAGGGAAAGCTTTCTGCAGGAAGCAAGAGCAAAGCTGAGATTTGAAAGATGACTAGGGAGGGATCTGTGGAGCTGAGGGTTCATGGAGTTTTCCAGAGACAACAGCACACTGAAATCAGAAGTGAGGGTAGCTCCCCCTGGCGGGGCTGGTGGGAGCCATGCAGAAGGGCCAGATTTGGGGGCGGGAGGCTTATAAGCAGAGGCAAGGATTTGCATGGTGTTCTGAGGGCTTTGGGGTGCCTTTAAGGGTTTTAAGCAAGAGAATGAGACCACAGGCTTGGAAGAGAAGAGAGGAGCCACCGAAAAGGCAAAGGAAGAGGCATAAAATGTTGATTAAACAGACCAGGAAAGTCACCGTGGGCATGAAGACAGGTTTGAGAACTACTTAGGAGGGTGAATCTGTTGGGCAAGCTGGGAACCCAGGACAACACCCAGACTTCTGGTTTGAACAAGGGGTGGGTACCACTCAAGGGTATACCAGAGTAGCAACAGGTTATAGGGAAAGGACAGCAAGGTCAAATTTGGACACGATGCACTTTCAGCACAGGAGGACATACATGAGGAGTTGTTGGGGAGAAGGATACAGAGATGTGGAGGTTTAGTCTAGCCGCATGGAATTGGGAATTATCAACACATATGCAGCTGAGGTATGAGCAGCTGACAGCATCCAGGAAGACCTCCCACGTCAGGAGAGGGATCAAGAGCACAGAACCTGAGGGGTCAATGGGCCAGGGGAGCACTCACAGGGAAACTCTGGGTTGAGCACTTGGAAGGTAGGAGGAAATTCAGGAAAGCCATTGGTGGAGATATGTCAGGAAGGAGGGAGAAGTCAATTGTACCTTGTGCTGTCTAGAAATCAAGGAAGATAGGGATAAAAGAGGTCTTTTAAAAAAAAAGGGGGGGGGATCTCCTGGATTGGCAACAAGGTTGTGGAGATATTGGTGAATGTGGGCACAAGGCTGCATGAGGATGAGAAATGGGAACTAGAAATGGAAATGTGGACAAGGAGACAACCCAGGTAAGAAGTTTGCTCTTCAGTAAGGGACTAGATAGATAGATAGATAGATAGATAGATAGATGGATGGATGGATGGATGGACGGACGGACGGACGGACAGATAGATAGACAGACAGACATAGAACATATAGACAGGCAGGCAGACAGGCAGATAGGTGGCAGATAGACAGACAGACAGACAGGTAGGTAGGTAGGTAGGTAGGTAGGTAGGTAGATAGACAGACAGACCTCAGGTAGGTAGATAGGGCAGCAGCAAGGTCATGTTGTTAAGATGGAAACACCTTGAATGTGTTACCTACAGATGGAGGGAGCAGGGAGAGAGGGGAGGCCAGGAGACTGGCTGGGGTAGAATCTGAAAAGCTGGCTGGAGAAGATACCAGTCTTCCACTGGGTCAGGAGGAAAGGAGGAGAGCAAGAGACAGAAGCACTGGCAGGCTTCTCAGTTCGGTAACAGGAGCTGAGGGAGGGACCTTCTGGTGGCCTCTGTGTCTCCGTGGAGGAGGACAGCAGGCTGTGGAGGGAAGGCGCAGGGGAAGCTACTGGTGTTGAGGTTTGAGGAGCGGAGAGCTGAAAGAGTCTGGGACCTCACACCTGCAGCCAGTGGGAGTCTCCCTGCCCTGTGTACTTGTCGTCTGAGGCCCACCCGAGGAGCCCGAGGAGCCCACCTAGGGACCTGCCAGGAGACTGCGGGGTGGCCCAAAGGGCACCAGAGCCACGGCCGGTGCTGGGCAAGCTCAGTGAAGGAGTGGCGAGGAAAGAGTATCCAGCAAAAGGCACCGCTGGGACTTGGTGGGCCTAACTCTGCGTCCCACTGGCTGTGTGACCACAGGCACGCCACATCACCTCTCTGTGCCTCTACTGCCACATACTTAAATCCCCTGAAACACTTAAAAACCCTGCCTTGTGAGGGTGCAAGGAGAATAAAATGAATACTGTGTGGAAGTGCTTTGCACACAGGACATAAAACACACCATGGCACGGGACAGTGTCTGGTGCCGGCACACAGGAGGTACTTGGTAAGCAGTAGCCACTGTTATTCATTACTACTTGGTGTGGGTAAGAGGAGCTGTGGAAACTGCAGATCTTTGACACCCAGGGGCACAAATACATAAGGGACCCGAGGTCTGTGTCAGTGGTGGATTCTGGCCAGAGAGACACGGTCATAGCTTCAAAGAAGGTTGGGTGTGGTATGACCTGGGATGTGGGGCCATTGCTTCTAAGGCCGCCAGTCCTTCCTGCGGCTATGGGGCCCCGGTCAGTGGAACTGGCCATGGGCTTCTAGGAGAACCCACGTTCTCCATGATGGGCCCCTCTTTGCTGCCCGCAAGATAACTGTCCAGGCGGCCCCTCTGTTCTCCTGGGCCCAGGCTCCCAAGCCCGTGAGCGGGGCTCCTGGGAAATGGAATTGGGAAGAGGGATGAGTGAGTTTAGGAGAAGTTTCCAAAAAAGGAGACAAGCAGGGGCCAGGTGCCAATGTCATAGGCCTGGAGACTTTAATGTCCTGCTGGTGGGAGTGGCCTTATGCCAGACAGACACTGGCACTGCCTGGGCCTGTTTGAATGACATTAGAAGTTCCATCCAACCATGCCTCTTGCTGGTGAGGAGAAGGGTCTGTCAATCTACTTCTTCCTGACTTTGCCTGGTGGTTCCTGACCACCCCACCCAGCCCATCCATTTAGCTACTGAGAGAGAGAGGGGCTGCCGCGGCGGCCAAACCCTCTCTGCCCCAGCCACCCCTCCCTCACAGTTGGTCACGCTAGCTCTACGCCCATGCTGCCGCTGTGCGGGCCTTCACATCCTGGGGGGGAGCAGGGTCTCCTGGGAGCCCTGATGCTGGTCGAGGCTACCCAGCGAGGACCTGAGGCTCAAGCGTCCCTGGGCACTGGCCATGCCCTCTGGGGATCCTTGACTTTTCAGTAGCTCTGTTGCTGCCACCTCCACGTCCTCTGGTTCCATCTGGCAGGCATCTGCCAGGGCCTGGCCTGTCACCATGACAAAGTCAGCATCGGCCGCCAAGGTGTCCAGGCCTCCTCGAACCAGAGCCTGCAGGGAAGAGAGAAGGCTGGGTGCAGTCTCCGGGGGAGGCGCCTCGGGGGTCTGCCTCCATTAGCCCTACCCTCTCTCTACCCCAGGACGTCACAGGGCGACTCCTGAATGCAGCCCACAGCGCCATCCCAGCCCCCACCTCACCTCCTGAATCAGCCGGGCCGTAGCTGGAGTCTGGCACCTGGAACTATTCTCCTTGGTCCTACCGCTGTGGGGTGCATCCTCAGGCCCTGGGGTGGGGTCCCTCCTCTCTTCAGGCAGGGGAGGCTCTGCCCTGGCATGCTGTTCCAAACGCACGAAGACTGCAATAGGGCTGCTGGAGGCTGCTGGGATCCAGCAGAACTCCAGCCCTAGGGAGCCTTGGCCAAGACTTACAGAAAAGGGAGGACCAGGAGTCTGGTCCTGTCTGTTATTAATGGACAAATTACCACCACCACCCCCTTCCTCTGTATAGGGTTTCTTTCCCGGCCTGAGCCTCATTACCTGGCAGGGGGTAGGAGATGCCCGGGCCCTGGGCCCTTCTATCTGGGTCAGCTGTCCTTTTAGCTTTTCCACACAGGATTTGCTGTGGGCTCCTGTGGGCAAGGCAGGGCAAAGGCTAGAGGGGCCCCAAGTCAGCAGAGCTCCACCCGGCCACACATCCAAACTCTGAGAGCTCTCGGACACCCTTGGGGCCATGGACGGCATGTTAGAGGGTGGACGTGTGTTGAGACCCAACCAACGCCAGGCCGGGCAGGGTGGGCCCTGTGTTGCCCTCGTACTTGCCCTGGTCGTTGTGCTTGTGGGTTTGGGAGGAGGAATCAGGGCCATAGTTTGACCAGCTCTGGTCAAGCTGTTCCTCAGTGAGTCCATGTGTGTTTGCCTGTAGCAGTGTGTGTGTGTGTGTGTGTGTGTGCGCGCGCGTGCGCGCACACACATGCTCTAGGGAGCATAGCAAGTGTCCTCATCTCCCTTGAACTCCAGCATCCTCAGGGCTCTTGCTGTCACACACAGCAGTACAGGCCCTGCTGGGAGATTGCCAGGCCATCTGCTGAAGGGCCTTGGCGCCAAGAGGTCAGTGGCTCAGGGGCTATGGGTTTCCATGCATGCGCCCTTCCCCCTCACTGTCACCTAGATGGCACCCTTGTCCTCTGCCCGGCTCAGGAGCTGGCCCTGACAGCCCTTCCATCCCAGGCCCAGCTGGATCCCACTGCAGCAGGCTCCCAAGCCAGCCCTCCCAGCCAGGTTCCCCAAGTGTGAGGAGAGAGCCAGGCTCCCAAGGCCTCCCTGGGAGAAGGCTCAGCTTCTAGCATGCCCAGAAAAGACTGACCCAGGACCCTTTGGGGTTGGCCAAAGACTCCCCCTCGGGCAGCAGGCGGCTCTGTCTCTCCAGGGAACTCCCTCTCATAGCGGAAGCTGAAATGGAAACAAGCTGGTGAAATAGAAGCAAGGCAGGCTGCTGGTTCTCCCGCCATCCTGGCCCTCTATGGCCCCGAACATCCTTTTCTCTCAGGATCTGGACCCATGGTTGTGTGTAGCCTGGACTCCGGGGCTGGTGCCCCCACTGCTCTGTGCCCAGCCAGTCCTGGGCCTCTAAGAGAAATAAGCCAAATACATCCCCCCACTCATCTCCTTTGCCCTTCCCTCTACCCTTCCCTCTACCCTTTCCACGTTCTGTTCATCTCCCGAGGCTCAGCCCCAGCCTCACAACCTCCAGGGTGCTGGTTCTCAACCCTGGGGGTACACTGGATCACCCGGGGAGCTCTGAAAACTGGCAGTGGCAGTGTCCCGTGTCCGTGCCCAGAGTCTGCAGTGGGGCCCAGGCCCTGTAACTGTGAAACCTCCTTGGTGTTTCTAATGCTCAACGGAGGCCGGGAAACATTGCTTAGCTC